TAAAAAAATCAGAGAAAACAGCAAAGTTACTCTCAAAACTTTTTCTAAATTTGCTTTTCAAAGTTTTATTTTTGGTTTGCATTTCTTTTTGATATTTGTTTAGCTTTTCCATTTATGAACGAGTTCATTGGACAAATGTTTACACTCTATAGCAGATCTATTTAGGAAGCACTAATAGAGGATGCAGACTGAGAGAAATCTAAAACGCCTCTTTTTAGTTATAAAACATGAGCCACCAAATACTTTGACAAGAAAAAATGACACTTTCCCATGAATCCACTGATCCTGCAACCCCAAAAGATTTGATAGAATAAAAACTTGGCAGCAAAGAATTAGGTTTTTGCAATTTCTGGAGGAAAAATGCATAATTATCATATTTTTTTTACATAAAAGGTAACTGCAAACCTTTTATTGTCAAACATGTTTCTCCAGTAAATGTAGCAGAACATTTTATTGGATTTTATAATTTAATGAACATTCATCAAATTACAAGGGGACATGAATTGATTGTGTTTCTCAAACACATCTAATGTTAGTACATTAAAGGTATAGCTGTGGATACTTGCATATTCTAGGACACCCCCCCTCCTCATTTGCATAATGAGGCAGAAATGCATAGAGAAATGTAAAAACGGCAGCCAGGAATAAATAGCGGTGAAGAAATAACTAGGGTAAAATAATAAAAAGGAAGAATAAAACAGACAAAAATATTATAACATGCACATAAATAAATACTTAAACATATAATTAGAAAATAAAGTTGAAGATTATAAAGGACAAAAAAATAAGGTAAAAATTACAAAGGCAATTAAATAAAGAAGCTAAATAACAGAGTTATATACATTTATGTCTCACTGTATAATTTAACTTCTACTTACATTTATTTGTTTATTGTATTTTTGGTGGCAAATAATTGTATGCTTATTTATTTATTGAGCATTTATTTATTTCTGTATTTATTTTTAAATATGGCAGAGTGGGTCCTTCATAGCAGACAGCCAGTTGTTCAAGAATGAATCCATGAAAGCTCAGCGGTGAGTAAGCATTCACTGCCAGTCTAGGTGGCGTGTGGGCAATGAAATGGAATAATGTAAACGATGCAAAACCATCATGAACCGCAACATATTTCTTCAAAATATTCAAACATAAATTCGCCAAATATAAGAGGAACATTGCAACATAGTTTTTTTGCAAGCATTTTACAGTTTGAAGAAATAGAAAATTACATTATATGCCAACTGTCACAACGATGTACATGACAAAGAAGGGCTATATATACTGCATGCATCATTTAGGCAGTTAACATTCTATTAGTTCTTCAGCTCCTTAAGTTGTTTACTGTTACAAGTGGATGCTTCAGCCGGAGAGTAAGGGTTGGGGCTGGTATGATTAAAGGAGGGCCGACCCTCGCATACTGAGATTAGGAGGGGCCCACCAGATTACCAGTCCGAGGCTGGAATGGCTCAATGTTGTACAGGACATTTACATTCTGGAGAAGCAATCTTTTTCTGGTCAAGGTTTGAAGGGAATCATCCTTCAGGATCTGGTCTAAATGGACAAACTAATATAAAATCTGTAATCCCTGTGGACTAAACATGTCTTTCACATGTAAATTTTGTGTATTGTACCCCGGCTCAGGAAGATGGCAAAACATTTCTGATTGTGCTTTTCCCCCTAATATAAGAAAAATCAGACTAGACCCACCCCCCGACCCCCACACTCTTCAATTATGGATGTTATGGTTATTATACAAAAATCCTGGATTGGCTTATGTTATTCCTGCTCATGCTTCCATTATGATGGAAGCTGGTCTGTAGGAAGTAATTGTAACTTGCCTCTCCAAATAAAAGAATAAATAAAAATAGATTTAAAAAAAAAGAAACTTTGAAAAACTCTTTAATAAAACTTTGTAGGATAAACTTTGCTGTTTCTTGTTGTTTTTTTTAAATCTGGTTTTTATATTTCATTTTTTACAAAGTTTTTTTTGACACTTTGAGATTTTTGTTTTGAAATTTGTTCTTTCAGATTGCTTTACGAATCGCATTCTTTTCAAATTGTTTTTCGGATCACAATTTCTACACTTAAAGCTCAATAAAATGTTGCTAATGTCCGATCAGACCAATAGAAATGCAGCTTCACTCTTCACTCAAGAAGAAAACCTGCCTCCAGATGTTTTATTGTCAATCTGAACAAGATAAATTTGAAAAAAAAAAATATATATATATTAAAATTGCTTTAAAAAGATAAAACATTAACTTTTTTTAATAAACATGAAAGAAACAGACTATTTATTTCCATTTATAAAACAGCTTGCTTGGTTGCAACAGTATTGGAACAATAACTTTATATTACCAGAGCTGATTTAAACCAACATGAGTAATGATCCTTATATCATTATAAAGGTGAGGTGATTTTTTAATGTTTCATTTATTTTAAAACAAATTAAGCTTCAAATATAGTTCTGTGATTTATGTCTATGGTTAACATTTTCTTCAAACTGATGTTTAAGTATAAAATTTCTTATTTTCCCCCTCACTAGTTTCTTATAATTTGGAACTGAATACATTAAAGAACAATAAAAAAAGACTTTCATTCAGCCTAGAAAAATGTCAAATTTATTAAGATGAAAAAGCATTAAACTACAAGAAGTTTCAAACAAAGTGTGCACGACAGAAATCAGAGGAAGATCCGGTTCTGATGAGCCATCAGCAGAGGATGACCTTTGACACCTGAAGGAAGATCGGCGTCTTCGTCAGAGCCTCCCGGCCTCCTTGAACCTGCCGAGCAGCCCGTCGTCTGCCCTCAGAGGGAAACTCAGAGTCCGGGTTTTGTAGAACTGCGGGTCAGCCTGCAGGTTCTGGATGACGTCTGAGAGGAGGTGGGCTCGCTCCACGCCGCAGCCCGGCGCATCGTAGCCCAGCTTGGTGAAGTGGACGTGAAGGTGGTAGTAGGAAGGCTGGTAGTGCAGGTAGACTCTCAGCTTGCTGGCTGGAAGGTCGTAGCGCTGCAGGATGGCCTCCTGCAGAACAGATGATCATCATTTGTGTTGGATTGTTTTAAATCATCCACATTCTCCACTAGGGGGAGCCAAAGAACCATCAGCATACCTTTCCTCTCTGGAAGATGTTCTGCAGCAGTGGGAGATGCTCTGAGGACAAGTCTCGAAGGCTCTTGATGTCTTTCTGACGAGCTATAGCGATCAGGTAGAGGTCATCCACCTGGAGGAGGACAAATCAAATTGACTTGCACCAGATATTGATCAGAGCATATTAAAAAACAATACAAAACAGGATTGTTCCTTATGTTCCTAACAGAGCACTTTGCTCTCTATCTGCAGGTTTACTAGTGGTTCCTAGAATTTCTAAAAGTAGAATGGGAGGCAGATCTTTTAG